AAATATAAACATAATTTGTGAGAAAAGCATTATTCCTAGCCCGGAATTTATATCAAAATTTGTTGAGGAAACTGACATAGGGGTTGGAGGAGCATCTAGAAAGCTGACAGGCAGGGTTCATGATTTTGGAAGAGCTAAAAGATTGGCCTTCCTATAATTAGAGTAAGCTATATTTCAGGTCCTTATTGCAGTGTATTTGTACCTTGATATACTCAATCAGTTTTTATTGAGAATCTAATGTATATTCAGCACTACTAGGAATGATAGGAGATAGAATAAAGGTAATAGACATAGTTCCCACCACCATGACACCCATGATGGATGACATTCATATAAAAGACACACTCCTAGGGGCTGTGGCATAGATATGATCATTTGTTTAAAGGAGTATATTGGAATTCAAAGGAATTGCAGAGACATTATCAAAAGAAATCTTGAATTCATATATATCATTCTGTCATAGACTTTGGTATTTTTTTTTTATTAGTTAACAGATTATTTGTTGCATGCTATAATTTACCATAGTACATCAGTTTATTGGGAAGTGATAGTTGAAAACTGTTTTTGGAGCTTATGACAATAAGGAAGACAGGATTTTCAGACATAAGGTAACTGAATAATTCAGGATAGTATGAGATATATTGAAATTTGGGGATGTGCACCGTGACTGCTCCTCCAGGGCATTTATAGTCAAGGAAATCTTTGTGGAGAAATGGCTGCTGGAAAAATGGATAGCATATCAGTCCAGGTTCTTTAATTGTAAGCAACAGAAATAAAACCCAATTTTAAGCAGAAAAGGAATTTATTAAAAAGATATCTGGGTATATGCATACCCTTTGACCCCCATACCCAAGAGATGCACATACACATGGGTTCACTGATGTGTTTTTTTGTAATAGAGCCAAACTGGAAATTATTCAAATGCCCATCAACAGTAGCATAGATGAGTAGTAGAGCAATCACCCAATGATAGAAAACTATACATACAGAGTGAGAATGGACAAACTGTAGTTACACACAACTAGAATGAACCTCACAAACATATTGAGTGAAAGAAGCCAGAAATGAAAGATCAGAGAGTGATTCCATTTATATCAAGTTGAAAAACAGGCAAAACTAATTTATCCTGTTAGAAGTTAAGATAATGGATAATGGTTACCTTTGGGAGGGAAATGGTAGCTGGAAGGAGGAACAGAGAGAACTGTGAGAGTACTGGAATATTCTGTTTCTTGACATAGGTGGGTTCAGTTTGTGAAAAATATTTGAGCTGTATACTTAATGTTATGCATAGTTTTATTTATATACTATAGGCCCAGTGCATGAAATTTGTGCACTCAGGGGGCATCCCTCAGCCCAGCCTGCATCCTCTTGCAGTCTGGGAGCCCTTGGGGGATGTCTGACTGATGGCTTGGGCCTGCTCCTCCAAAAGCATCCTTAGCACTAAGCTCGTCAGCAGTGAGTCTGGCTTCTGGCTGAGCAGCGCTCCCCTGGTGGGAATCCACTGATCACCAGGGGACAGCTCCTGTGTTGAGTGTATGCCCCCTGGTGGTCAGTGCACCTCATAGCAACTGGTCATTCTGCCATTGGGCCAAATGTGAGAGGGTGCAGGCCAGGCCGAGAAACTCCACCAGTGCACAATCAAACCTGGGGAGGGGCCCGGGAGGGTTTCAGGGTATGTCTGGCCCACCTTGCTCATTCCCAATCTACTGGACCCCAGTGGCCAGCTAACCTACCCGTGGAAGCGTCTGCCCTCTGGTGGTCAGTGCACATCATAGCAAGTGGTTGAGCAGCCTTAGCATATTATTAGCATATCATGCTTTGATTGATTGAACAGCTGACCAGACGACTGGACATTTAGCACATTAGGCTTTTATTATATAGGATATATACTATATATTTCATAGAGAAAGGGAGAGGGGGAGAGAGTTAGAAATTTGGGGGGGGGGGGGTCAATGATAAGAGAGTATCATTGATAGGCTGCCTCCTGCATGCCCCACACTGGGGATTTAGCTCATAACCCAGGCATATGACCTGACCAGGAATTGAACAGTGACCTCCTGGTTCAAGAGTCAATGCTCAACCACTGAGCCATACCAGCTGGGCTATGCGTACTTTTCCCTTCCATATGTTATGCTGCATACTTTTCCATACGTGTGTTGCACATCAATACAATTTTCCTTTATAAAATATGCATATTAGGTAATGCAGAATTACTGGAGGACCTGGCTACATATCCCAAAGTCTGATTCAGTATCCCAAATCATGTTCTTGAACTGCTTCCACTGCCAAGCATTGAGCTGAAGCTTGCACCACTGGCCACTGCCACTATCAGCTCTGCCTGCCTTGTTCCTTGGGAGCTTAATTTTGCTGTAGCTACTTCCACCTGAGGGAGACAGTTCCATTCCTGGCTCCTATACAAATTCTGGTGTGGATGCCTTTGTTAAGTGGAGCCTAGCACAAGATCCCACCTTGCTGCAAGGGAAGCTTGGGAAAGCAAATATCTGACATTTTTAGCTTTTAAAGTAGGCAGTGATGTCTGCCAGAAATTGTAAAAGGTGGAGGCGGAGGAGGAGAAGGGAGAAGGGAAGAAGGGAAGAAGGAAAGGGGAGGGGAGAGGGAGGAGGAGGCAGTGGAGGGGGTGTTTCAAAGTGAAATCTTTCTTGAGGTGAACATTTAGGTTAGTAAAATAAAGTAAATTTCAAATGTTAGGTACAGTGTCTAGGGGTAGAGATTGAATACAACATAGCACTTGGGTCCAGTGGAACAAGTTTAACCAGGTCAAAGGGTGTGTTCTGGAAAAATGGCTAGAGAAAAGTTGAAGGAGTAGGGTAGGAAAGATTAAGGATTAATGTGAAAGCCAGGCAGAGGAATTCAAATTTAATATGGGAATTTCAGAGCCAATAAAAGTTTGTGAACAAGAATGTGTCCTGAGAGGAAGAGGTATTAAAGGACCATTAATCTGGCAACACTTCTAGGAGCAGCAGCTAGGAGGTGGCTAGTAATTTAGGGAATGGGTGGTGGATTGCGAGTAGAAATAAAAGACAAAGACTGGATTTAAGAGAGCATTTGAAGGGAGGAAAAAATCAATAGGATTTAATAAAGAAAATGGAGAAGGTAATTCTACTTTTGAGCCTGATGTGGTATCGCCTTTCATTCAGAGCTAGAAAGGGTGAGAAGGGGGCCAGTTTGGAGGAAATAAAAGAATGAATTTTCATTTTTGAATTGTTGAGTTTAAAAGTAGTCCCTGTGCAGCTGGACATAAGAGGCCAGACAGTGAAGTAAGCTCTGCAGAAGGAATACTAGTAGTTCTTACAGGAATAGAGGGTGTGAAGGGACTAGAACAAATGTGACAGAGCTCAGAGTGCTTCTCAGATCCCACATTTAATGTAGTGGTAAATATAATGTAGTAGAAAATTTGGACTACAAATTGTACCTTCTGCTTCATAAAGCTTCACCTCGGCCCATATTGATACTAATATTATTATTTGATGCTGTTTCCTTTCTATTACTCTAATATCTTTGAAGTGTATGTAATTAATCTATATGAGGCTTCTCTTGGTTATTTCTAATAGTTTTGAATGCTTTGAATACAAGGAGAATATGTTCAAGCTAGGGACTTTAAACAAGACTGAGAGTGGCTGCATATAAAAAGCAGGCCTCCAGTAGATTAGAAAAATTACGAGCTGGAATTCTCAGCACCACTTGGATCAGTGATGACAACTCCATTCCATATTGTGCTTAGAAAAGAATGGCTGTAAAACCTACTTAGGCCTCACAAGGTCTTTTTGAGCCTTAGCCAATACATTTAGGCACTGTCAGTAACCACAAGCTTTAGCACAACATTCAGGCTTGGCAAGGCAGCCTGGACTCTGGAGCCCGACAGAGTCCAGGCTTTTGTGTACAGCTTGTAAGCTGTTGCTGAGGCACGCCTTCTTGGTATTCCTCTTAGGACTTTATTCTCTATAGTCTGTAACATGTTCCTACTTGTAGATTATGCTAGATTGCTCAGATATCAGTAAAGGATCTGCATCTATCTTACCAGGAAACAGCTCACCCCTTGGGTGATGTGTGAAATAATGAAGAAAATCTTTAGATAATGACCCATCATTGAAGCTGCTGGTGTGTTTGCTGGCTTATAGTACCTTAAGTCCTCGGTCTCTCCAGGGTAATAGGTAATATCTTCCCTATAGTTAGCTTAGTGTAGATCTTACTCAAATTAGCAGAAAATACTCAAGGGCTTGTCTCTCTCCCGCATGGTTTCTCTACCTAAAGAGGTAGCAGGTTGACAATGCAGGAAGTGGTTTTGAGTCTGTGTCAAAGGATCCATCAGCCTTTCTAATTAATAAGATTTGTAAGTGAAACAAAAAGTGATGAACCAATATTGCATTTATAAAAAATAACATTTTGCTTATGGATGAAATGACCTTTGCAACTCTGCTCCTTTGCTCACATGGTAGACATGCATCGAAAGAGTTATCCCACCTCTTTACATCAGAAGAAAGTAGTTTGCCTAGACATCTGTGTGTCATAGTTCATGTAGTTTCTGACAGACTTTAAGGCAACAAGACCATTGAATATCATATCTATCATTATTTTTACAGAGAGAGTTCCCTGAGTTGGTTTGAGAGGAGCAGGAGTTTAATACCCTTTCAAAGCCCCCCCCCCCCCCCCCTTACCTCGTTTATCCTAGAGGGCAAAAATCTGAACAGGCAAACTCTAATTGGCTAAAACAAAGCCAGCAAGGCACAGATTAATGTCACCAACCTGTGTCATTACCTATACATCCTAGGTCAAGCAATCATTCTTTTGGGAAGAAGAAATGCTAACTTTATCAATAGCATTCCACTAAAGATAAAAAGAAAACAATGACCAAGATACCATTTCTATTAAAAATATTTGTTTCATTTTAGAGCTGGTTGAACTTCAGTGATGGATAGAGCTTGTTCTTATGTGTTTTTGTACTACAATTTAAAAATATTATTCTTTTTTAATCTTTTTAGGAGCTGTCTCATCTTATGCATTAGAACTTAATTTGCAGGATTCAAAAAATGCCACTTGCCTTTATGCAAAATGGCAGATGAATTTCACAATAAGTTATGAAACTACAAGCAAAAGTAATGTAAGTATTTTTTTTTCTTTGAGTTTTATACCAGGAATTTAATTCTATTCTTTTTATCCTTTACATGCATTTATACAAATAAGATTTCATATGTTGACTGACTTAAATTCTGTGGGTTTTTAAACAAACTTGTATCCTTGAATATATTCTGATAGGTGTTGGAAGGAATATTTTAACTGATTCTTGGAAGTTGCTTAAGGGCAAATGATCTGAAGACTCTATGTAGGGGTGTCGAACTCAATCAGAGAAGGTGCCAAAATCTAAAATCCAGCCTAAATCGCGGGCCGAATGGTTTACTGAACAGTCATAAACTGTCATTGTGATGGAAACGCAGCTGAGTGCAGTGATGACAGCGCGTTGCGGGCCACATTGCAAGGCCTGGCGGGACGGATTTGGCCCGTGGGCCTTGTGTTTGACACATGTGCTCTATGGTATTCTAATTACTTCTGTAATGTTTTTTTTTTTTTTTTTTTTAACATGTATTAACATCAAAGCTTGTCCCTTTTAAAATAGCTTGCTATTAAAAATCTCCATTTTGGGCAGTACTTCTCAATCCCTTTGCCTTTTTATTTTCTTTTAGTTAAGGTCTTGCCTGCTTACAACCTGATTTTTTTAAAAAAATCAACATAAGAACAGAAGTTCAGGCTAGTTTTCCTTTTCCTTTCAGACATAGTCATTTGTCCAGAAGACTGGTGTGTAGCTGAGGAATCTGAGACTGGTTTACACAGCAAATCAGGCAAAGAGCAACCTAGCCATGGGGGGTGTGTGATGTAGACTGAAGTGGCACATCCTGTGAAAATGCTTGATGCTCACTACTGTCTGTTTGTTCCTTACAAACTTTTTTATTTCAACTTCATCTTGTTTGTTTGTTTATATTACTACTAGAGGCCCAGTGTAAAAAATTCATGCATGGGGCAGGGGGGTGTATCCCTCAGCCCGAGCTGCACCCTCTCCAGTCTGGGACCCCTCGGCAGCTGGACATCCCTCTCATAATCCGGGACTGCTGGCTCCTAATTGCTCACCTGCCTGCCAGCCTGATTGCCCCAACTGCCCTCCCCTGCAGGCCTGATCACTGCCAACTGCCCTCCCCTTCAGGCCTGGTTGCCCCCAACTGCCTTACTGTCGGCCTGGTCGCCCCAAACTGTCCACCCCTGCAGGCCCAGTTGCCCCCAACTGCCCTCCCCTGCTGGCCTGTTTGCCCCCAACTGCCCTCCCCTGCAGGCCATCTTGTGTGGCCATCTTGTGATAATGTGAGGGTGTCATGTGGGGGCGCGAGGACCACGTAGGCTTTTATTAGTATAGATTAAATTTATTGTGGTTTATTGGTAAATAACATGTAATTTTCAGGTGTACAAAATTATAATACATCATCTGTATATTGCATTGTATGCTCAACACTCAATCTACTTTCCATTACCTTATATTTGATCCTTTTTGCCTATTTTGCTCTCTCCACCTCTCTTTCCCCTGTTGTCTGTACCTATGAGCTTGTTTTTGTTTGTTTTGTTAGTTTATTGCTTTTTATTTTATATTTCATATATGAGTGAAAGTTTATGGTTTTTGTCCTTTTTCATCTTAGCATAGTACTCTCAAAACCTATCCATATTGTTGCAAATGGCAATATTTCATCTTTTTATGGTTGAGTAGTAGTCCATTATATGTATGTACCACATTTTTATCTAATCATCCACAAATCAAACTTCTTTTTCTTTTAGAAAACTGTAACCATTTCAGACCCTAGCAGTGCAACATATAATGGAAGCATCTGTGGTGATCATCAGAATGGTTCCAAAATTGAGGTGCAATTTGGATCTGGTTTTTCCTGGACTGCGAAATTTACAAAGGACGTGTCTACTTATTTAATTGAAAGTATCTCATTTTCCTATAACACTAATGATAGCACAACATTTCCTGATGCTAAAAAGAAAGGTAACCTTAATAATTGGATTTTTGTTATGTTCTCTTGCTGTTAATTAATAATAAAAATGTGAATAATTAAAAAATTATGCTTATGCATGTATGCCTTCCTAACTAGACTGGAAACTATGCCTTTGTATCCTTCCACACCCATGTACACCCATGTTCAACACAGCATTGATATTTGCTATGCTTTGTGCCAGATAATACCTTAATCCTTCCCAATAAGCCTGAGAAGTAGATATGTCCCCAACTTTATAGGTAAAAGGAATGAGGCTTGATGATATTAAATTACTTTCCCAAACATCACACAGGCTAGCAAGTGGGTGAGCTATTTTTTGAACCAAAGTCTATTGAGGTACACACTTAACTATTGCTATTTATTTCATTCAATGGGCACACTATAAATGTTGAATCAATGAACAAATCCTTTATTAGTAACTATTTTAAATGTGTACAAGTTCAGTAATCTAAGAGCAGCAGAAATGCTTCATCTGCAAATCTTTTTAACATTTCAATAGGATTTTGCCAAAAATAAATGATAACTAGGTAAAGGTAAAATGACTGGAATCAACATTTGCTGCTATTTTGAGACAATGTCAGGTCAAAATGAACTTGGAGAAAGCACTGGCAATTAGGTCACCATTGTAACTACTAGAACTGAAATGCATATTAAAATGTTTTGAAGGCATGGATAATGGAGATTTCCATTGTGTTAGGGATATAATTCTCTCCTTTCTTCCCCCTCTGTTGAAGCTGAGTTAACATGATGTTTGTAGTAGCTTAGCATTTCTCACCAGAAATAGATACAGAGACTTCAGTTGCCTAGACCTGGAGATAAATGACTCATTTGTATATATGGATATCAAAAGATTATATTTTAAAGACCCAGAAGTGAATGTGGTCATATAAAATGGGAGTTATCGCAGACTGAGTTTTGGAAATCAAATCCTAGTTTTCTTTTTTTACTAATCTCTTAGTTTGAGGGGATAATTAAAGCAAATTTGTTATGAGATATTGTATATATTTAGTTTTGTGCCCTACATTGTATTTCAGACCTAGTATAATATTTGCCCCTCACTTTCAAGGAGCTTAAACACTAGTTGGAGAGAAAAAGTGATAATATTTTTTCAAGTTATATGGGAAAATTAGAAGGCATTGAGATCTGTGTGAAGTTGTTGTTTGTGTTTGGGAGGTTGGAGGGCTCATAAACCTTTTCTGACAATGTGAGAGAAGCTCTAGACCCCCTCTCTGAAAATATAGAGTGACTTTTGCATATTATACATACTCCCTGAGCCCATCTGTGCATGCCTGAAGTTAAGAGGCCAGAATAAAAGTGTTCTCATAAGGGGTCCTGATTAAGAAAGAGCACAGAGAAAGGGGAGGTCAGTGTGTGTTGAAGTGAAAAATAGGACCTGAGCCGAAACTCTGCTAATGTAGAATTAGAGTAAGCAGCGAATTTTGAGAAGAGTATTTCCAGCAGGGGGAAGCATAGTGTGTGCAGTAGTAATTGGACAGTTGCCTGATTAAAATAGAGGCTGTGTGTGTAGCAGCAAGAAAATCAAGTTGGCTAGGTGGCAGTGGGTCTAAATTATAGGGAGCCTTGGAAGCCAAGGAAAGGCATTTAGCTTGATGGGGTAGGCACTGGGGAACCATTTTAGGTTTTTACCAGGAGAGTGATAAAACAAAAGCAGAGACTACTATTTTATAAAGAATGTTCTACAGGGTTAATTTGGAAGTAAGGAGACTGTATGCAGAGAAGCCAGCTTCAAAGGCTATTATAGTAATTAAGGTACGATGTGATGAGTGCCTGGACCAAATGGGTGGCAAGAAAAGGAGGTGGGATTTAATCTGACAGATTTGATGGGAAAACTTTGGACTCTAAAAGTTAACACCTATTTAATCCAGCTTTTATTTTAAATAAGGAGAATACGGATATTTTTATTACTAGTAGCTGTATAATATTTGAAACTATTTGGAATTTAAAAGGGCTTCCTTAAATGCACTGTTGATGGTTTTTGAAATAATTTTGTGTTTTCTTTTTAGGCTCTGATAATTGAAGTGACTTGGAAATTGCTGTTTTCTTTAAAACATTTTTTTCTTGATTAAAATAAAGTACCAAGAATAATAAGCCCACATGTACCCATTACCCAGAATTAGTAAATGCCATTGTTTTTCACATTTATCTTATCTTTTAATTTTATTTTTAAATATATATATATATATATATATTTCCTTTTTTCTATTGTTTAAAGTATTACATATAATAGCACATATATCTCCTTTCCCTCTCCTCCCCCATTGACCTTTCCATTGATTTCAGAGAGGAAGGGAGAGGGAAAGAGAGATAGAAACATTGATCAATGATGAGAGAGAATCATTGATCAGCTGCCTCCTGTACACTCTACACTGGGAATTGAGCCCACAACACAGGCATGTGCCCTGACCAGGAATTGAACTGTGACTTCCTGATTCATAGGTTGACACTCATCTACTGAGCCATGCTGGCTGGGCCAAAGAAATAAAATCTTACAAATATACTTGTGGCTTCCGTTGTACCCACTCTCTAGAGCAGTGGTTCTCAACCTTTTTAATGCCGCGACCCTTTAATACAGTTCTTCATGTTGTGGTGACCCCCAACCATAAAATTATTTTCGTTGCTACTTCATAACTGTAATTTTTCTACTGTTAATGAATCATAATGTAAATATCTGTGTCTTCCAATGGTCTTAGGCGACCCTGCTAGCAGTTCGCGACCCACAGGTTGAGAACCGCTGCTGTAGAACCTAAGACCATAACAAAATTACAGCTATGAAGTAGCAACGAAAATAGTTTTATGGTTGGGGTCACCACAACATGAGGGTCGCGGCATTAGAAAGGTTGAGAACCACTGCTCTAGAGCCATTTTCCTCTCTGCCTCCTGAGAGGTAACCACTCATGAATTTGGAGTATAGCCTTCCTGTCTATTTGTTCATTCTTGACTAATACACATGTCAATATATTTGTTCACAAACAATACATAGTTTTAAAATGATAATTTTATAGTATAATTCAATATTTCTACAACTTGTTTTTTCATTCATTGTGTTTTTTTTAAATTTCTTTATTGATTAAGGTATTATAATACATATGTGTCCTTATCCCCCCACTCCCCCCATACCCTCCACTCATACCCTTATGTTGTCTGTGTCAATTGGTTAGGCTTATATTCATTTGTTTTTTGAGGTCTAGATACAGCCAATTCATGTAGCTGTTCACTTTAAGGATAAAAATTTTGGAGAAAAATGTTCTAGTTTATTATTTATTTATTTATTTATTTATTTATTTATTTATTTTTATTTTTAAATATATTTTATTGATTTTGTACAGAGAGGAAGGGAGAGAGATAGAGAGAGTTAGAAACATCAATGAGAGAGAGTCATTGATCAGCTGTCTCTTGCACACCCCCTACTGGAGATATGCCCGCAACCAAGGTACATGCCCTTGACCAGAATCGAACTCTGGACCTTTCAGTCCCCAAGCCAATGCTCTATCCATTGAGCCAAACCGGTTTAGGCAAAATGTTCTAGCTTATTGGTAAACATTTTTTCTTTGGCCATTAGGGGGCGCCAAGGCAGCATTAACTGGCTGCCTAGCTATATGATGGAGAGACACAGAAAGCAGCCTGTATTATGGACCTTGAATAGTACCTTCCTCCCTTACTGCTTCTCCAAATGAAACTACTTTTGGGTGGATAAGTGTGATCGCAGTCTTTTTAAGTTTTACTATAGGAAGTATAATAAACACTATGTACAGAATAATTATAACTTAATACTTTCACATTCTGGAGATTTTATGAAATGGAATAGTCTTTGAATTCTATCCAAGAAGAGGTTCCAAAAATTCATATAGTTACTCTAACTTGCTTGGGATAGTAGCACAAAAATAAGGATTTACCATAAAATCCCTGATTAGTGTATCTCTCTTCCATTTTAGTCACTGTCCTGTTGATTCTAACTTAGATATATGTTTTTAACCTTCCCTCTTTGCTTTCTTCCTCTCACCATCTTAGTTTAGGCATCCCTCTCCTTGCTTTTTAAAAAAAATTTTCTTTATTGATTAAGGTATTACATAGGTGTCCTTATCTCCCCCCATTATCCCGCAACCACCCCCCACTCATGCCCTCATCCCCCGGTTGTCTGTGTCCATTGGTTAGGCTTAAATGCATGTATACAAGTCTTTTGTTTGATCTCTCCCCCTTACCTCCTCCCTTCCCTACCTTCCCTCTGAGGTTTGATGATCTGATCGATGCTTCTCTGACTCTGGATCTGTTTTTGTTCATCAGTTTATGTTGTTTATTATATTCCATAAATGAGTGAGATCATGTGATATTTATCTTTCTCTGACTGGCTTATTTCACTTAGCATAATGCTCTTCAGTTCCATCCATGCTATTGCAAATGGTAAGAATCCCTTTTTACTGCAGTGTAGTATTCCATTATGTAGATGTACCACAGTTTTTTAATCTAATCATCTACTGATGGGCACTTAGGCTGTTTACAAATCTTAGCTATGGTGAATTGTGCCCCTCTGAACGTACAGGTGCATATATCCTTTCTGATTGGTGTTTCTAGTTTCTTGGGATATATTCCTAGAAGTGGGATCACTGGTTCAAATGGGAGTTCCATTTTTAGTTTTTTAAGGATACTCCATACTGTTCTCCATCAGTCTGCATTCCCACCAGCAGTGCACTAGGGTTCCTTTTTCTCCCCATCCTCACCAACACTTGTCATTTGTTGATTTGTTGATGATAGCCTTTCTGACAGGTGTGAGATGGTACTGCATTGTCGTTTTGATGTGCATTTCTTGGATAATTAGTGACTTTGAGCATGTTTTGATATGTCTCTTGGCCAAAGTATCTATTTAGGTCATTTGCCCTTTTGATTGGGTTATCTTCCTTTTGTTAAGTTGTATGAGTTCCCTATAGATGTTGAAGATTAAACCTTTATCAATGATAACATTGGCAAATATGTTCTCCCATGTAGTGGGCTTTCTTGTTGTTTTGTTGGTGTAGTCCCATTTGTTTAATTTTGCTTTAGTTTCCATTGCCCTAGGGGCAGTGTCAGTGAAGAAGTTCTTTTGGCATATGTCAGAGATTTTGCTGCCTGTGGATTCCTCTAGTATTTTTATGGTTTTCCATCTTATGTTTAAGTCCTGTATTCATTTTGAGTTTATTTCTGTGTATGGTGTAAGTTGATGGTCTAGTTTCACTTTTTTTGTGTGTGTATCTGTCCAATTTTCCCAACACCTTTTATTGAAGAGACTGTCTTGACTCCATTGTATGTTCATGCCTCCTTTGTGGAATATTAATTGGGCACAGTGGTTTGGGTTGATTTCTGGGTTCTTTATTCTATTCCATTGATCTGTATGTATGTTCTTGTGCTAGTACCAGGCTGTTTTGAGAACAGTGGTTTTGTAATACAGCTTGATATCTGTCTGGTATTGATATCCCTCCTACTTTATTCTTTCTCAAGACTGCTGCAGGTATTCGGGGTCTTTTTTTTTTTTAATCCCAGATGATTTTTTGGAGAGTTCCTTCTAAGTCTGTGAAATATGCCGTTGGTATTTTAATAGGGAGTGCATTGAATCTATAAATTGCTTTGGGTGGTATGGACATTTTGATGATGTTGATTCTACCAATCCATGAACAAGGAATGTTCCTCCAACTCTTTAATTCTTCCTCTATCTCTTTTTTCAGTGTCCTGTAGTTTTCCGCGTACCCCTCCTTGTTTTTTACCTTGACCATGTCATCAGCCTTCTAAGTGGTTTCCCTTTTAAATTATTTCCCTTAACATCTTCCTCCCCTGCCTACCCTCTATACTTTTGCTATTTCCTTCAAAATAAATTATACATGTGTTATTTATTTCCAGCTTAAAAACTGGAGCTGACCTCCCACTGCTAAAAAATTAAGGCCCACTAACATGTCCTTAAATCAGATAAGATACGTCAGAGTGTGACCACTTGTAGCTTGTCTTTCCTTCCTAACCCCCATTTCTCTTATACCCTGTGTTTAAGCCATAGCAAATGTGTTGTTCCCTGAAGATGCCATGTTCTTTGTCACTTTGGAGATGGGGTGGGGCAGGCAGAAGAGAAGAAAGTGTAATGTATATTTATATTATCACTTTTCCCCCTACTTTCCTGAAAACAGCTATTGTTAACCTTTTTTTTTCTTTACAGAAATTTTTACAGTTCATGAACCTGTGGCACTCAAAATTCCATTGGATGAGATCTTTAGATGCAATAGTATATTGACTTTAGGAATGAAAGATGTTGTCCAGCACTATTGGGCTGTTCATGTACAAGCTTTTGTCCAAAATGGCACAGTGAGCACAAAAGGTGACTACTGAAAGTATATGTTTCTGTACTTAGGTCCTAAATTAAGATGAGTATACCAGGTAGCTTTGTTGAAGTTGTTACCTGCAAGCAAGCATATACTAAGGTTTATTGTTTACACTGGACTGTAAAATTACAAATTCCATAAGAATTGTTATATAAATAATAACAATTCTTATGGAATTTGTAATTTTAAGTTTATAATGTACCTCTTTTGGAATGGTATTTTTAAAATATTTTTTTCTTGATTTCAGAGAGGGAGAGAGAGAGAAACATCAGTGATGAGAGAGAATCACTGATTGGCTACCTCCTGCATACCCCCCACTGGGGATCGAGCCTGACTAGGAATTGAACTATGACTTTCTATTTCATAGGTTGAAGTTCAACCATTGAGCTATGCCAGCTGGGCTGGAATGATATATTAAAATGCTTTATTCATAGTGTTTTCAGCCAATACAATCTAGTCCTTGTTTGATCAAATCCTCAAATAGTATTTGATCCTCAGCTCTTTTGATTTTGACGATGCAAGTCCAAAGCATAGAAATTATATGTCTGAGTTCTAATCTTGAATTTTATAAATTGGCTTTATATTTTTCATATAACTTTATGGAAATGTAACAGTTTCTCATTCATCACTTCTGGAAAACAACCAACACTTCCTAAAAAGAGGCATGATTTGCTGCTATAGGGGTAACAAAAATAAAAAAGTTCATTTGTATTTAAATCCTTCAATAATCTGTAAACTTTCATCTGATAAACACTATCCTTCTTTATAGTGGTTGTATATGGGAGAGAAAATTAAGTGTCTGAAATGATGGATGTGCAGCCGGCCATGTTTGGGTAGATAAAGCATTTGCGTGTCGAGGCTATCTGCTGTGTCATAACTCTCAAAGACTGTCTGCATATGAAGCAGCAGTTTGAGAAATCTTGCTCAATTATTTTAAAATATATCAAGGTATTCCCTCCCCTTCTTTTGGATTTCTATTATGATAAATAGTTTGCTCTTCCTAGGCCTTATGAGTTAAGGAAAAGTCTACTTTAGTTTATTTTGTCCTTTGTTTGTTTTAGAGTTCCTGTGTAATGAAGATAAAACTTCAACCACTGTTGTGCCCATTACTCCCACAACTTTACCATCTCCTACTCCTACTACAACACCTGCTCAAAAGGAAAAGCCAGAGATTGGATCCTATTCAGTTAATAATACCAATGGTACTTGTCTTATGGCTTCTATGGGGCTGCAGCTGAACGTGACTCAAGATAAGGTATATTTGTCTATAGACATCACTCAAGATAATGTATGGTTGTTTATTTTTATGGCTTCATTCTATTTGCATCTCCTTTCAAATAGTGTATCCTACATTCAGCTCAAGTAGTATTACTGGAATGAAGGCATTTTAAATGGAGATTTGATGTTGACTCATTGAGTTTTGAAGAGTTTGGAGTTACTAAAACCATGAAGAGTTAATGTCGCTCTCTAGGTGCTATATCGGGCAGTGGGAAACCTAGCAGTTTAAAGGACTCTGGGTTTAAATTCCATTTGCCATCAGTAGATCAGGCAATATCAGAGTTGATTATTATTTCAGTCAGTTTAAATATAACTCCTTAACACTTTTATTGAAAACATGCGCTTTAGGTAGTTATCTATTTTTCCTGCTATTTGATGACTAGAATCATATAGATATGTCTACATACAGCATGGCACTTTTTTTAAAAATATATTTTATTGATTTTGTACAGAGAGGAAGGGAGAGAGATAGAGAGTTAGAAACATCGATGAGAGAGAATCATCGATCAGCTGCCTCTTGCACACCCCCCACTGGGGATATGCCCGCAACCAAGGTACATGCCCTTGACCAGAATCGAACCCGGGGCCCTTCAGTCCCCAAGCCGATGCTCTATCCATTGAGCCAAACCGGTCTCGGCTGCATGGCACTTCTAATTGCAGTGTTCCATTGAGCCTACAGAGGGTGTGCCAACAAACAAATCCCATTTCCAGAGACCCATGACTTAAGCCAGACAGCTCTTGTTCCATAAATTATGTGTATTGTCATTTGGCTCCTTACTAAGGAAGCTTCCCTCTTGTTTTTATTTCTTTTTTTAAAAAAGTCATCTGAGTTACAGCTTGAGGGCCTGTGCCAACTTTGTTTTAAAGTAAGACATCATAAATTTAAGTATCCAGACAAAAGGATTTTTTTTTGTTCTCCACTAAAATTGGTCTTATTAGATTATAAGGTTTTGTTGTAGACATTTGTGGCTAATCTGTACCTTCCTCCCCTCTTCTTCCCTTAAAGGTTGTTACAGTTATTAACATCAATCCAAATACAACTGACTTCACTGGCAGCTGCCATTCTCAAACTGCTCTGCTTAGGCTAAACAGCAGCAACATTAACTATCTTGACTTTGTCTTTGCTGTGGTGAGTAATAGATTTTTCTAAAATTAGGCTTATTCTCTCAGAAAGACATCTGAAAGTATAAATAGGTGTGTGTGTGTGTGTGTGTGTGTGTGTGTGTGTGTGTGTTGGGGAGATATTTAGCTCTATTTTCCATTCCAACACTACTTAATTATAGAGTGTAGTCCATTGATTCCTGTTAATCCCTCAGGGTCACCTCAATGGTCTGTGGCTGGACACTTACATTAATGTTCACCAACTGTGGCTATTCTGCATTTATATAGATTTTAGGGTAGGAGCATGAATTAACCCACATCAAAAAAACTGTCTAGCCCAGTCAGCGTGGCTCAATGTTTGAGTATTGACCTATGAACCAGGAGGTCACTGGTTCAATTCCTGGTCAGGTTGTGGGCTTTATCACAATAGGGAGCATGCAAGAGGCAGCTGATCAATGATTCTTTCTCATCATTGATGTTTCTATATCTCTCTTCCTCTCTGAAACAATAAAAATATATTAAAAACAACAACTGTCTAATTTGTCCATATATAAAAAGTATATATACGTATGTATCTGTATATATATGTGCACATGTATACTTATAATTATCTATTATATAAAAGCCTAATTACCATTAGGACCAGATGACCAAACGACCGGCTGGTAGCAATGATGTGCACTGACCACCAGGGAGCAGACACTCAATGCAGGAGCTGCCCCTTGGTCAGTGTGGCCCCACAGCCAATCTCCCATGCCTGGCCAACCTCCTGTGGTCCCTCCCCCTAGTCTGATCTGCCTGACTGGAGGAGATGACCCCAATCACCAGGCAGGCTGAGGGATCCCACTCATGCACAGTGCTACTAGTATATATACAAAAGATAAAATAATATCTATACATTTTTTTCTCTATTATTGGTTAGAAAACTCTCATGTTTGTGTACTATAATATTTTAGGCATTTTGAAAGCTATACTATTTGTAATAGTACCAGTAATAACAGCTACATTTATTTAGTAATTGATATCTATAAGGCTCTGTATAAGTACTTTACATGCATTAATTCATTAAATCAAGACAGTTTATAATGGCAGCATTCAAGTTTTTGTTCATATTTGTATCAAGGGCTGAACCTTAAACAGAAAGTTCCAAGTTACACATATTCTCTACTTCTTGCTAGCATAAATGAATCATCGGGAATCTTTATTTTCTACCTTCTCCAAAGCAATTATCCCCACAGTTTTTGGAGGGGTGTGTGTATTTATCTAAGGGATGGGGAAATAGTCTTGACATCTGATATAGAAAAAATTAGTCTGTTACTATTTGTTTTATATCTGAACTTGGTTTATTGGATCTAAAATATTTTTTCTCTCTATGGAATATAATGCCAAGTTATTTAGGATTATATTAGACAATTACAATTTAGAAAGGTTTACAAAAATCTTCCCTTATCTAACATTCAAATCATTCCTCTGTTATACTACATATATGATAAGTGAATTACTATTAAAACCATTTAGTTACACTTGTCCTTTTCAGTATAGTAAGAGTAGGCCTCCCCAGACACATCCTCTTTTATTTTTATAAATATATTTACATTGATTTCAGAGTGAAGAAGGGAGAGGGAGAGAGAGAGAAACATCAATGATGAGAATTGTTGATTGGCAGCCTCCTGCATGCCCCACACTGGGGATAGAGCCTGAAAATCAAGCATGTGCCCTGATCTGGAATCAAACCATGACCTCCTGGTTCATGGGTCTACACTCAACCACTGAGCCACACCAGCCAGGTGACACATTATCTTTTAAAGTTGCATGGTGATTATACTATAGTCACTAAGAATAAGGAAATTAATATTTTAGGTTTATTCCCTTTTGAGTGATTGAGTTTGATCTTTCTATATATGGTAACGTCCTATATATGGTAAAAGGATCATGGTTTCTTCTAACTCTCATGGGAAAATATTTAATAACTAGTGGCCCATTGCAGGAAGATTCCTGCAATAGGGCTTCCTGCTGTGGCCGTCACTACCCTGCCTGCTTTCCTCACTTCTCAGCCACCGTGCTTGCTTCTCTATAGCTTTGCTCCCTTCTGCAGGCTTGGTTTCTTTCTATGCTGTCTTGATATGAAAATTAACCACCATATTGGTTGGGTTAATTTGCATACTCACCCTGATTGGCTGGTGGGTGTGGTTTGCGTAGCAGAGTGATGGTAAATTTGCATATTACTCTATTATTAGGTTAGATTATAATATTGAATTTGCCTAGCAGACTATTTTAAAGTGCAATCCAGAATGGTTGTATTTTAACCATGCTACAGGCATTTTGAAAATTCAGGAAACACCTGTAATATCACTAGAGTTCAGTGGGGCCCATCTCACCTTCATGATAGATGCTTCCAAAGGAGGATTTATTGAATTCCAGTGTATTATTTGCAGGATGCTATGGTGGGATACAAAGAAGGCATATATTCTTAAGGTGCCCACAATTTAGTGGTAAAGATAGAAATATACAAATAATTACTGTTTTGTGGAAGGCCTTGCATGCCATGCTAAGACTTTTGAACTTGATTCTGTAGGCAATAGAGTACTGTAGAAGGTACATACAAAGTGAGATGAGTGTTAGACCAGAGGAAAATGCAGGTGCTATGGGAGTACAGAGGCTGGAGTGGTTAATTCTGGCTGTTGGTGAGTCAGAATTAATGGAATAGATGACATTTGAGTTGGACCTTCAAGGATGGGTCATATTTGTACACAAGGGGAGTGAGTACAAAAGTACAGGTTATCTCTGGATAAAGTAACCCAGTCAAGGGCTTGTAGCATGTTTAGTAAAAGATCAATATGGAAGAGTCGTTGGGACAAATTGTGGAGAGCCTTGAATGCTGAGCCAGGACATAGCCTAAGCAAAGGAAAGATTTGAGGAGGTGGTCAAATATTCCTTTATGCTTCCTTCTGAAATTTCTGAGTCTGTTCCCTTGTTTTCATTCCTTACTGACTTTGCCCTGATTCCAGTTCCTTTACCTCATACCTAGACTATTCAGTCTTCTTAATTAATCCCTCTTCTTCCTCCCCTCCCTCAATGTTCTGCATCTTCTTGAAGCACAGCCCTTGCTCAGAAACCTTCAGTGGTTCTGTTTTGTCAGTATGATAACATCTAAATTCCTGGCAGGATAGTTCAAGCCTCCCTCCCCAACACTGTGCAATGTAACCTGCAATCCAGCTTTGTTTCCTTCGTTCCCTCTTCATGAATCTCATGCTTTCCTCACCTTGTTTTCTGTACACAATCCAATGAGGTAGGAGATAGGTAGTAACTGGCCCACAGGCTCTGCAGCCAGACTTCCTGGATTCAAATCTCAGCTCCCTGACTACTAACTATATAGCCTCTGGGAAAGTTACTTAACATCTCTTCATTTAGATTACCCCATCTCAAAATGGGGTGGTGTAATTATTCAATGAAGCTTCATATGTAAAGTTTTAAGAACAGTGCTTGGCACTTAGTAAGTTCTCAGATGCTAGTATACTTGTGTTTACACTTATTTTTTAAAATATATTTTTATTGATTTCAAAAAGGAAGGGAGAGGAAGAGATAGAAACATCAATGATGAGAGAGAATCACTGATAGGCTGCCTCCTATATGCCCCTCACTGGGGACTGAGCCTACAACCCAAGTGTGTGCCCTTGACCAGAGTCAAACCTGGGACCCTTCAGTCCCCAGACTGACACTCTATCCACTGAGCCAAACCAGCGAGGGCATGATTGCACTTATTTTCTACCTTTACTCATGTTGTTGCCTTCTTGAATACCCTTTTCTGTTTGTTTTCTAATTGAATCCTACCTAATTCAAATGGCCCATCCCTAAGCTTGCATTACTTTTGCTCCTCCCTTAGTTGGAAGTAATTTTTCTCCTTTTTATTTTCACAACTTAATCACTCTGTTTTTTGTAATATGGTCATTTATGTACTATATATATATATATATATTTAGATCTGTTAATTGTTTAATATCTGAACTTGGTTTCTTGAACCTAAAACCTTTTTTTCTCTATGGAATATATGCCGAATAATTGAGGATTGTATCTAATTATATTTTAGAAAGGTTTACCAAAATATTTCCTTTTCTAGCATTCAAATCATCGCTCTGTTATAGTACATATATGACCAGTGGATAGAATCTTAAGTTCCAAGACTCACTGGAACATTCCAAGACCCCCAGGGGATGTTTAAAACGACAGATAGTACCACACCCTGTATATACTGTGTTTTCTCTATACATGCATATTGATGATAAATTTAATTTATATATTGGCCACAATAAGAGATTAACAATAAATAATGAAATAGAACAATTAGAACAATATACTGTAATACAAGTTACATAAATTTTGTTTCTCTCTCTACAAATATTGATTATCTGGAATTTTCAATTTAAGATTTGTGTACTGTGGTTGATCATGAACAATTAAAATCATGGAAAGTGAAACTGCAGAAAGCAAAACTGGATAATGGGGGACTACTGTATTTATTTTATCTTCCCTGGCAAATTGCAAAAAGGGGGTGGGGGCGCAGGATTCAAAGCTGGTTCATTTTGCTAGCTCCCTGGAGCACTTCAATATGTTCCCTTGTACATACTAAGCACTGACATAATTGGAATGACTGCCTAGTCAGATGAGTGCTTCAGAAAAATAATAGCAGAGAAGGAAAGCTTGAGCTTGAGAGGCTGAAAGGCAGAGAGCTCAGTTAGAGGCTATTATGATCCCAGCTAGAGGTCGGGAGGGCTTAGCAAGTGACAGGAGGAATAAAATGGAAGAAATTAATTGTGGAGTGTCTGAGAACCATATACTATATCTCTGGTCCAAAAATTGGAAACAAAATGCAGAGGGAAAGGGTTTCTTTCCTGTTTTGTATTCTCTACTTAGTTACAATTTATTCTAATATTAAATTCCAGTACCCACTGAAACATTCCAAAACCCCCAGGGGATTACAGCTCTGCTGAGCACAGCAATTAGGCCTGTAGAATACTTTCTGTTGAATAAAGGTCTAATTCATAGCTTTATCTTTTGGGTTATGGTATTAGATTGCTTTTATTCTGTAGAAAGTAACTACCTATAAAATTATTTGCAGTGTAATATCAGTTCCAGCCTGTATATCTGGTCAGCTATAATAGAGATGAGCTCTGTAAATTCTCTGATATGAAACAGTCCTTATAATGTGTTGATTAACTGCAAATTCATTTTTTTTAAATAGAAAAATGAAAACCGATTCTATCTGAAGGAAGTGAATGTCAGCATGTATTTGGTTAATGGCTCTGGTAAGCAAAATATTGGCCTCGGGGTAAAGAGTGTGTGTTACACTGAAGGAATAAAACCATAATTGTCTTTTTACCAAATAGTGCCTTATCTAATGGGACAGATTTTGTATAAAAAATCATACTTTGACTACAACTTAAAATCAGTAACTTAGCACTACAGTAGCCTATCTTTTGCAGTATACCATATTTTCAAATCATGGTGGGTAATAGTTAAGGATGTGACTGATTTTTAGACTATAGAAACATCCATAGAAAAAACATGGAACAGTGACAGATAATAACTAGAATTAGTGAGTTGATTATATTGTAAGGTACCAAAAGTTGAATCATTGTATTGTACACATGAAACTAATATAATATTGTATAGTAACTATACTTAAATTTAGAAAAAAAGGAAATAGGGAACCTAGTGATGGGAAGAATTGCTTTTTGTAGGTAGACCTCTTATACTTCACTGAAAAATCCTGAGGACAGTCTCATTTTTTATATTAATAGGATAAGAAGTTACTAACATATTTTTTTTTCTTTAAAGTTTTCAGCACTGCAAATAACAACCTTAGCTACTGGGATGCCCCCCTGGGAAGTTCTTATATGTGCAACAAAGAGCAGACGATTTCAGTGTCTGGAGCATTTCAGATAAATACCTTTTATCTAAGGGTTCAGCCTTTCAATGTGAAAGAAGGAAAGTATTCCACAGGTAAGAGTCAAACCAGCTTTATTAATAATTGGTAGTCGTATGTTGATTTTTACTTTGAGTCATGGAAACTTAAGCATTGAACTAGAGAAATATAAACTCCCCTGTAGAGTTCTCAAAGCCTTGAGCAAGTTGTATCACTCTATACTTGGCTCATTATTTTGCTCAACCGTAGATTTTCGTGTGATCTGAAAACCAATTGCAACAAACTTCTTAAAGCTAAAAACTGATCAAAGCTTCGCATGAGCTTTACTTAAGGTAGGGACGCTTCCCCCAAGTTTTAGTTTGTGAGAAGGATGGCATTTGGGAGCAGCAGCTTTGAGCATCTGGCATCTGCCTTGGGGCCATTTTTTAGCTGGAAACATTTTCATACTTGAATAAAAGCAGTTTGGTCATATTTTGTTGAGACAAAAGATTATGGTAGCATAGCCTCAAATATCAGGAACTATGCTTTGGCCAGCCACAATGATCTGGAGATTTTAAAAAGCATGTGCCAGTGTGAATGAGCCTTTTTGATCTTCTCAATCCTTATGATAGTGTTTATCAGATTTTTAATGAAACCTTTGCCAGCAGCTCATTACAGTGTTTATATGAGTATGAAAGATGCATTTGGCATTCCAAGATTACAATTTTTTGAAGGAAAAGGTACATGAAATTCCTTAATTGACTTGACCTTTTAAACCTTTCTACTTAAAATCATTGTTTGTGGGTTGCAGCTGTGCTGAGCACAGCTATCCAGTCATTCACAGCATTTTTAACAATTAATTCCATGGTTTAGAACAGGGGTGGGGAACATTCAGCCCGTGGGCAATATAAGGCCTATTAAATCATTTGGTCTGGCCCTGCCGAGGCATTAGGGCAAATTAAATAAATGTTTTACCAAATATAGCAGGCTCATTTTTAAGTTGATAATTTTGTATGGCCCCATGAATGTTATAAATATCCATCTTACCGTTGGCAGAAAAAAGGTTCCCCACCCCTGGTTTAGAAAGAAATGTAGAAGCTGTGCTTAAAAATCAATATGCTTTGAACCATTCAGCTACTTTTGCAGTAGTGCTAAATACCTAGCCTGACTTGATTAGGTCACAGTAAATTGGGTTCTTCACCCTACTACCATTCTTGTGACAAGAGCAATTAATCACACTTTAAAAATTTTAAAAACATTTATTTTCCCTTTTGTCTGTTTTTCTTTTTTACTTCCATTATTTTGATCCTTTAATAATTTTCTTCTTGAGTCTTTTTTTTATATTTTATTGATTTTTTACAGAGAGGAAGGGAGAGAGATAGAGAGCTAGAAACGTCGATGAGAGAGAAACATCGACCAGCTGCCTCTTGCACACCCCCTACCGGGGATGTGCCCGCAACCAATGTGCATGCCCTTGCCCGGAATCGAACCTGGGACCTTTCAGTCCGCAGACCAACGCTCTACCACTGAGCTAAACCGGCTTCGGCTCTTCTTGAGTCTTGATCTAGCTCTTCTACATGATTACCTTAATTTAAGGTCCAGATTTGTGTTTAGAATTTAAAATTATTTGTAGTGTAATATTAGCTCAAGCCTGTATATCTAGTCAGCTGTAATAGAGATGAGCTCTGTAAATTCTCTAATTTGAAACTTTGCTTTTTATGTACATAGAATTTAAAATGTCACCTAAAGGAGTATAGAACATTTAATATAAGGGTAGGCAAAATAGGTTTATAGTTATGAGTACACAAAACAGTTTATCCTTGTATTATTATTTTGTATTTTTCCATATGAACAACTTTAATCCCAGTGTTGATAATGAATGCATCACCAATTTGTTGGGCTATGCTCTTGATTGTAGGTGCCTATAAATATTGTACAATGCACTGGTAATACTTGACTATATAGGAGAAAGGAATAGACTTGTAGTAAAGTAAAAGAGTGTTGATTGGATTTTACTGGATCAGACTACTCCCTAGGAATAGAAAAAATATTCTATGGACTGCCAATCCTGACCAGATTGATAAATGTATGATAAATGTAATAAAAACACTCTAAGTAGTAAGAGGCCCCAGTTTCTTGACTTTTGCAGCCACTAAAATCATGTACTCTAAGTCAGGGACCTGTATACTTTTCTTTAAAGGCCCAGACAGTTTTGAAGGCCATATGGTCTCTCTCACAACTAGTCAGCTCTGCTATTGTAGCATGAGAACAGTCACAGGCAATAACCAAATGAGTGTGCCTGTATTCCAATAAAACTTTATTTGTGGATACTGAAATTTGAGTTTCATGTAGTTCTCATGTCTCAAAATATTCTTTTTTGTTTCTTTTAAACCATATAAAAATGTTTAAAAGCCATTTTTAGCTCTTGGGCCAAATTTGGTCCATGGACTAGTTTGCCGTTCTCTGTCAAACGGATTCCAGAGCTAGCCTGGCCATCCTAATCCCATGATTAAACCATCCTGATCTGGTCCCAGTCTCCCAAAAGACATTCACTCTACCACCAAGAGGCTCATCTGGCCATGTGAAATGGGCTAGATTAGCTTGCTTCATTTTAAATAAAGTAATATTCCTGTTTTGGAAAGGATTTTGCATATAAATAAACATGTATTCATGTATGCGTTTACTCATAAATTTAAATATATATATGTATTCATATTACTAATATATGTACAAACATATATGAATGAAAGAACAAACGAGTCTTAGGATTTTAATTCTAGATCAATCTATAATATTCTATAGCTTTATCTTTAAAATATACCTGTCTTAATTACTTAAAGTTGAACTTGTAAGAGCACTTCTGACTTTTGAATCAACATCTTTTACTTTTGGACATTATTTTTTTTGTTATACTCATTATTTGTTACACACTTTTTCTCACCTACAGCCCAGGAGTGTTCGCTGGATGATGACACCATTCTAATACCAATTATAGTTGGTGCTGGTCTTTCAGGCTTGATTATCGTTATAGTGATTGCTTACCTAATTGGCAGAAGAAAAAGTTATGCTGGATATCAGACTCTGTAACGCTAATGCATATGTGATCTCTGTTCCAAAGTAATAAAGCAAGTACAAGTTCCAACATGCAATACTATTCAATTTAAGGTATATTTACTTTTAGTTCTGATCTTAGAACCAGTGGTATGGGGGATTTTGTACTTAAATAAATACAAATACCCCAAAACTATAAACTACAAATTGGTCATGTGAATTTGGTTTTCCTAACCAAAGGCAATTAAATCTGTTGTTTCTTCAGCCAAAGGCATGTGCAAAATCACTTGGATTATAGGTTCTATTTTATTGGCTTCAATTAGTGTTTGATTTTTTTTTTTTTTTTTTACTTTAGTTATTCTGACTAGAAATATACAGTTTAGGAAAAACAGGTTTTAAAAAGAGATTTGTTTTCTTGCATGTGTTTGAATTGAGACAGTACATTCTACAGTGGATTTGTACTTGCTCCTTTTGTATTTTTTTCTGTGATTTTGTTTGCAGGTTAACTTAGCTGCTTTGACATTGCTACATATTTGACCTAATAGAGATATGCCAGTAGATTTGAACAGTCTAATATTATGTTCTTAGCAATGACTGCTTTCCTAATGCTTTTTGAATACATTTGTATTTAATGTGGCTATAATGACAAAAGATGCAAAGCTTTTGAAATTTTAGAATAGATGTTAAATTTATTGTTTAATCCCTCCTGAAAAAAAACCCCTGAATATTTCAATCTTTTAAATTGCAAGATACAAGACTGTTCCCCCTGGGCATTTTAATTTTCTAGGTGCTTTAGAGATAATTGCTAGGCAGTGCCAATTTTGGACCTTTGTCATTTTACCCGTAAATTGGTCTCTACCTGCAGAGCTAAAGTTAATGTAGACTTCTTTTTAGACTTCCAGTATCCTTGAAGGCAGTAGTAGCTTTTATTCCATTTTTTTATTTTATTTTCCTGAAAGAAGAAATGCCAGTATGTCCTAGAACCTAGATAAAGAAGGTTCTATAAAGTAACTTCCACCTAACCCAAAAGTCACTGTCTTCTCCATTAAAATGTTATTCTTTTTTTTTTTAAAGAGTTGTTCTTTGTTTCCAGTTTCCAGTGATTGCTACAACATTTACTAATTTGGCTTTCCTATTTAAATGATTATATGCTAATCAAAACTTATATTATTATTGTTCATTATGGTAGAATCATTATTAATTCATGTATTTTGTGTTCAGTTTTATCCTCTGGGGACATGCACCAGTTGTCCATCTACCACAAACCACCTAATGCTTATATGAGAAAGCAAAACATTTCAGCTTCACAGTTAACATATCAAGTATTTCTTGCTGTTTCTAGGTGTTTTTTATTGGAATGGCTGAGCAAATATTTAGAAATTGTTAATATACAGCCATATACCAAAGGTGCCTGAGGTTGTTTTTGTTTGTTTGTTTTGTTTTTGTTTTTGTTTTTTGTTTTTGGTGGGGGGATAGGAAATTATATATTCCCGTTCACTGAAAAATGAGTTACCTGGGTTCCGAAGTACTATTAATGTTGAATTAATTTGGTAGTATAACTAAAAATACACGCACAAATACACACAAGCAATTGCCTGTTAGCATGTGTATATCTAAAACTATCTTTCGAGTTGTATTGGAGTACTGAATATTTTTTCCCACTTAAGTTTGCTCTCTGTTTAGAGTAGCCTGAAATTCTTACTGGCTCAGAATCAGATTCCTGATCAACCCCTCTCTTAGAGCTACAATGAGCTGCATTGTCAGCTTAAGGCACTTATAAAAGACAAAATATAGACCTGATTTTTAAAAATATTTTTTATTTAAATAGTATGTTAGTGGAAGATTGTTAACCTTAAAAGAATGGATAATGCTTATAAGAATGTAGGTCTTAGATGTTGCTAATAAGTCAAAACAAAGCAGCTTTTTAAAAAAAGAGATTAAAGCATAAGTGGGTGGCACTGGCTTAATGCTGTTAATGTTCCTAAAGGTTTTTACATTTAATTATATATCTGATTCATATGAAAATATCTCTCATTAACACTGTTTT